TTTTTATTTTAAGGAAAAAGTCATTATAAAAAAATTATGTTTGACGAAAAAATAGGTTTACTATATTAATATGTTAGGTCAGGTGTACATGGTCTTAATAAATGAAGAAACTTAAAATTGACAAAAGGAAAAAATCTGTATTACCTTATTGATTTTACGAAGAAAAGTCACAGTTTTCCTTTTGGTTTTCCTTCATAACTTTAAAAGGAAACTTTTTTTTGTTATTTTCTTCAACAAGCAGAATTTTTTGTATGGAATAATTTTTTTTTCTGAAAAAAAAAAATGAATATTAATCGTAATTGTGTTATTCCCAAATATTGAAATGCTTAACAAAAATTTAATTCTGATATTCATTTTGATAATTATTCTAGATATGCGAATAACAAAGCTTTATAATCTTGATAAATCTAAAGTTTTTTCATTACAAAAAGCAAGAAAATCTTAATTAGCCATTAAAGAAATTATAAGTAGTAAATTAGTAATGAGTAACAATCAAAATCATGTGTTTTAAGCAGTGCTATTAAAAATGAAAAATTCTTATATTTTGTCGAAGTAAATTCAAAAGCCCTCCAATTTTCAAGCTAAAATAGCATTACATCTTTCTATATTACCGACTGAGTATTAATTGCACAAAACTATTCCATATGTCGCTGAAGGTAAACATGCTGCCAAATTTCTGTGAGGAATCTGCAACTCTTATTTATCCTTCCTCCATGATGGTGACTGTGTAAACCCTACATCGGTCCAAATTCAAAGGACGTTCAAAAAATTGCAATGTTTAAATTTATTACATTCTGGAACTGAAAACTGCGAAACAGGTGGGGATGCTTTACTTGTAAGGCTACATGAAATTCGTAGGACTAGTAAGGATGAGCCATTTTCCAAAATCGCGTGTAATGGTGGCAATATTGTCGAAAATGTAAATATAAACAAGCATATTAATGAATTGCATGCACAAAATATTAATATATTTTAAGAAAATGTTATTATATATGCGGATTTTTAATAAAAAAATGTCTTAAAATTCAACGTTGCGATGTATGTACACAATATGCCTTAACACACGAAGACTTGGATATAAGCTCCATGTATTGTTATTATAAAGCATACAAAAAAAGCAAATAAAGATATTTTTGGCAATTTAAAAATGTCAAATAATAGTTTTGTATGTTTAATAACAAAAATTTAAATAATTTTTCATCACAATTTTGAATTATTTATCACTAAATCCGGCGTTTGTAATTTTTTTTTTGATTTAATTAATTCCCAGATAACATTTGACGCTCCTTGTCCCCGATTTCCATAAATATTTGTTATTAAGGGTCGATTCCACCGTTGTGTTAAACGGAGATTAAAATGACATTGTTAATGTAAAAATGTAATTTTAAACTTCGTTTAACACAACGGTGGAATCGGTCCTAAGTTATATTTAAGGCTGCTCATACAGTGAGCACCATAAGTCTTACCCCCCTATCTAACTCGTTACTGGAGTCTTGTTAGGAAAATCGCCGAGACACATCGATTTTTGATTTCTACAATGTACATTTTTGTATGAATAGTTTACCCTTAATTTCATCCCTTACTGGAGGGGAGTAACCCTTTCGAAAAATTTAAATGGCATGGGGTGGTGAGTGATAGCTCATTTGAAAGAGTGTTTTATTCTCTATTCAACCGTGTAAAAAAATTTGAAATTTGCTTCATTAATTCTTGACTAATTGTTGTTTCAGAATAACGGAAATTAACGTAGCGCACTCATCCTTAGAATTAAAATTCGGCCCTGCATGATTTCGGTTTTGGTTCAGACGTGAAGTAAGACTTTTTGCCATTAGAAGGTCACTGTTAGTCTAGTTGCTTACCTATTTTGTGAGGTTTTGTTATTTTTAAACAATAATAAATCAACAAATTTCAAAATTTTTTGCACGGTTGAATAGAGAATAAAACCCCCTTTCAAATGAGCTATCACTCACCACCCCATGCATTTTAAATTTTTCGAAAGGGTTGCTACCCTCCAGTAAGGGATGAAATTAGGGGCAAACTAATCATGCAAAAATATACATTGTAGAAACCAAAAATCGACCTGTCTCGGCGATTTTCCTAAAAAGACCCCAGTAGCGAGTTAGTTAGGGGGGGTAAGAATTATGATGCTCACTGTATATGTCACTTTAAAAATATTAATAGAAATTTTAAGACCATCAATAAAAACAAGCTAATTATTTGGCGCAATCTTTGAAGCTTTTTTGTTTTAATACGATCCTGCCTATCAATACCTTATTTTATTACAAAATCTTTAAATACGCTTTAATCCGAGCCTGACTAAGACCCCCGAATGGCGTCGTCAAGGTCAAATTTTCTTAGTATAATATTTGTATGCGATCAGCGGAGAGTGGGCCTGCCGATTGTTTTTTATGCCGTGGTTCAAGGTTAAAAAGGATAATTTTATTTAGTAAATCCAAGGTAAGTGACACCACATATGGATTATAAGAATTTTTAAAATATAATCGTATACCTGTCATTTAAATAAGTGTTGTGATGCCTTTTGTTTTGTCTTTAAACGATTCATTGTTTTTAGTAAGACATGTTCATAAAATGGTAACTATAATATATCATAAATATATGCTTTTGGCACACTTAAACTAAGATATACAAATACCTACCTACATATCGTATCAAATTAATTTATTTTTGATATCTGTATAATTTATTGTTATAATTGTGGTGTTATATGGGCCCCTCTAAATGGTCGGGACAGGGAAATTTGACCCTGTTACTCTTACCTGTCTACAGCCCTGGCCAAATGCCAAATGAAAGCTAAGTGACGCATGATTTTTAAAATTTGTAAGTTATTTTTTCAAAAAATCCTTCAAAAACGCTCAAAAATGATCAAGATTACATTTTTTATATTAAAGAAAACTATAGTTATTTAACTTAATTTCGAAATGTACCTCCTCGAGCAGGGGGAGTGGATTATTTAGTCACGTGACATCGAGCTAATCAAATCAATCAATGGAGCAAACGGAGAAAAAAATGGTATCGAGTAAAAAAGCAAAACTAGGTACTTTTTAAATGCAGCAGCATATGTCATTCAAAAGTTTCAAATACACTTTACCTTAGCCAACAATACTAGACGTTAAAATGAGAGGAATAGATATAAACAAATAATATTTATAGAATAATAGCGTCTATTTTTGTGAGCCATAGAGGGAAATTGGGTATAAGTAATACGAGAATATGGAATTTATAATATGTTTGGGTTCAAATCTCTTCAAAGAGGAGCTATAGATGAGATTCTGGAGGTGAAGGTTAAATAAGAAAAACCTACTTTCACGTTCTAATGTTAAAATATTTAAAGTTCAATTTATTGAAGAGTATTGTAAAATTATAAAATTATTTCAATATATTAATATTCTTTATTTTATTATTATTGTTATTAAAATTTCGAATTTTCAGATAGAGATAAAACAAAGTCATAATCTCAAGGGATAAATAAATATTATAATTTTCAAAATGTTAACTAAACTAACAAGCAATTTTGAGACCCAGAACGTCTCTTGATATAGAAATTGTGAAAAAGAGGAAATCCTAAGCACTTTTACGAGGAAAGTGAAAAGGAATAGCAACGTCTTTTATATTTCCTTTATCTCCTTCATATCTCAAAAACACTTTGTGAGATATAAAGGACATTTCGTTTCTTTTCTACTCACTACATAAAAACTTAAACGCAAATCATCTTTGTCCATATTTATCCATCAATATGATTTCCGGTATTATTATTTCGAAAATAAGTTATAACATATTCATTTTCCAATATTATTTTAAACTAGATTTATCTGGTTTTAGCAATGACAGAAAAAACTACAGTAACTTTGAGAACATTGAATAGTGATATGTAATTTTATCCTACGCGACGTGACCGTTAAAATAGGCAGCGTTGTTGGCGCGGGACAAAATATAAAAAAAAACCTTTATATTCATGCTATAATATATATGGCTCAATCCAAACCTGGTATTGTCAAATCAACGTTGGCGGTTGGCGGTGGTCTTTCTCGGATTCCACACCAAGATAAAAAAAATAAACGGCGGTTGCATTCTTCTAACTCTTCCAATGCTAGACCTTTTTATTTAAATCGCAATGGTTCGTTAAAATATTTAGTACCGGTTTTATTTTACAAATTTTACATACTTTTATGATTCATTATTTTTTAAATACTTCTATTTTTTTAATCAAGAACGAATAAATACCTACAACAAAGAAAATAAAGTATTGGATATAAAGTGAGAAATTAAGCTTATCAATTTTTGTAAACAGTCTATAAACTTAAGAGGTTGAAGACTGTTTTAAAGAAATAGTTTCTTCGCTTTAGAATATAAATCCAACTTAGATAGACTACTGGACGAGCTACACGGTGAGGTAGAAATTACTGTCACATTTCAAAGGGGAAAAATGCTGTGAGGTACCATTAAAAACTTTTTATTTCCTAAATGTAGATATAAAAAAGTTCTTTACTATAAGTAAGTTTTAAAAATTATATCGTCCAAATGGTTTTTGGAAGTTCTAGATCACTCTCACGAGCATGTCTAGCGAAAACCCTTAAATTTTTTCTTGAATGGCCTCCTTTAGTTAGTTCATGGACGATGTTTGAAAACTTTTATCGTGAGGTACCTTCAAAAAAGTTACAGGTGTTTAAATCAGGTGAGCGCGACGGCCACGAAACTGCAAAGAGACCACTCAAACCACTAACATCTCCTACGGACGACGTTTTGTATGGGCCGTAGCTCAATCGTGTTGGAACCAGAAGTCTTCTATTTTCCCCATACTCTCTAATTTTCAACATATAGTATCCACCATCTTCAAAAAAGTAAGGCCCAAATGACGCCTCTAGATGACACAACACACCAAATGGCAACTTTTGAGCTGTGAGGAGGTCGTTGATGGAGTTGTGGGGATTTCAGTAGCCCAGTAGCGAAAATTTTATTGGTTAACTGTGCCAAAAAAAGTAAAAATGGGCTTCCTCGCTACCTCACCGAATGCCAGTTGGAGGCACAATTGCGAGGAAATCGGAAATCCATCTTGCAAGTCTGCTAGAGACAATTCTAGACCAAGAGTATTCTTAGACGGGTGTAAATGAAGATTAATAACCAAAATTTGTCTTACAGGCATATATCCATGATGAACACGTTGGAGACAGCTAAATCGATGCCCTCACAGCAGCAATGTTTTCGGGTGTTCCTATATTTATGGGACGCCCGGGCGGTTTTCTCTTCAGTGCAGATCTTGTTGCACTTACTCTTTTAATTCACAGCAAAATCGTTTTCCGGTCTAGAACACTTTCATTAGCACGTAAACCGAACCGTGTGCATAAAGCTCTCTGAGTCGCAGTTACAGATTCGGTATTTTTTAAAAAAATGCCTCCATTACAAATCCTCGATCCACGGCAATTTTTATTATGTGTGCTACCTAATGGATCGAAGGACCAACCAGTTTTGGAACCTCGTAGTGATTTTTCGTAACGTGGGAGTTATTTCTGCCGTACCCTGCGTACACAGAGTGGCCAGACGAAAACGTACCATAGTCATAATCAAGAACTACTAATTTTTTATTAAAGAGGTACATCTTTCTATCCTTAACTGTCATATTGTGATTCCTCTCCCCTCCGACAGTTTAATCAATACAAATTATATAGAGAAAGAATCACTGAAAAGGTAATTATGTAGTAAATTCAGCAATATGACCATTTATTGCGTTAATTTTGATTTTATCATTCTCTAGATATAAAACTGTCACGTATTGTAAACTATGAACATTCATTTGAAAGCTACTTTTATTAATAATTTAATGAATACGTTAGATCCCTGCGATATTTTTCAATTATCTTATTGCATGTTTCACTTTATCATGGTATGTTGTTTCTATATAACTCAAATGTCACTGGCTCTAAGGTATGTGGATGATAAAAAAAATGGATAAGATTTGCTGGATTTGGTATGTATTCTTTGAACGAGATGACTGTTTTTACGTATAGGGATATGACGACCACTGGTTTTATCTTTTAAAATTATTATTTCCTAAAAACACCATTTTGCTATTTTTAATGCCATGTTAAGTAAAGATTATTGAACAGACAATAGCAACATTTTGCCAGTAGACGAGAACAACGATTGTTTCACGATGGAAACGTTGAATAATGCCAATCTACACCTTTTCCAATTATTGTAGGTCATAATGTGCCAATTGTATTTCCAAATAGTCATTTAAATTTCATAAAGTATTATTTGAATTTCCAAATTGTCGTTTGAATTTTCTAGTGTATCATTTGTATTTTAAAAAGAGTTAAGTTAATTTCAAAAGGTATTTCAAATTGCTCATTTTAACTGAAAGTGTCAAATATATTTTGAATTAATCAAATTAATTTCAAAAATAGACATTTCAATTTTCAAAATAGTAACTTGTATTTCAAAATATATAAAATATAATTCATAAAGCATTTTCTGAATTTCAAAAAAATTACCCACAAAGGTTTGTATACAACAACTGTAATAAGTGATTAATGTTACTATTTTTTAATCACCAAGTTGGGACGCTTTTAACTCCTGTCAATTTGACATAACGTTAATACATCTATGTAAATTAAGCGCGAATTTGAGCCACAAAATGAATTTGAAAGACAATTGTTCTATCTGCCGAGTTTTGATATTGAGAGGTAATGTGTTATGAGTTCTTCCGTGTAATCACTTTTTTCATGTAAGAATCATAAACCCAACGAATGCAAGTTGCCTTTTATGTCGAGTAATTCTGGTGGGGAACGAACCTTATAAAAGAAAGAATTACAAGAAGCATTCAGATGCAGATAGGGAAAGAATTGTTACACGTGCTAATAAAGATAAATAGTAATGCTGCGATACGAGAGAGAGAGGCCACTCTCGTCTCGTAGAGCGCTAGAAAATTGTTCTCTCGTTTCGACGAGAAGGCGCTTCTCTCGCTCGAGAGAGCCTTTTTCTCGTCTCGACTCATCTTATCTCGTCTCGTTTCTCACGTGATAAAAACATGTCAAATTTAAATTTGGAAAAGATATATTTTAGACGAAACATAAAAAAGCTGTAAAATTTTGAAGACAACAAATAATTTGAATAAGAATAATTTCTTGACCGTATCAGAATTTTATATAAATAAAAATTTATTAACTTATGACTGCACCCTAAGATGGAAAAGTTTTCCAAAACATATGTAGTGCTGTGCTAAATAATTGAAAATAAAAAAAGACCGAATAAACCAAGGAAATATTTATTTATTTAAAATAACAAATAATTTTTCAAGTACTTTGTCTCATTGGTACCCAAATTGGCAATAAGAAACAGGGAATTACCTCGGTCTCTGTGTGTTTTAATTAGAGACTATTTGACATAAACAATTGAAACTTGAAGTAATCAGTGACCCAAATTAGGCGTTAATTAAAAATGTAAATACTTTGTCTTGGAAGTCAGTTGAGAGGAAGGGAAGATTTTAATTGAAAGTTAGAATTTTTTTATGCCATCGTGTGATATGAAATGGAAGCATTTTGAAGCATATTAAAAATATATTATACACCTAAAAATTTAAAAAAAAATACGTGTGGCATTCGGGGACTGCCGCGGTAAAGCTATTGCATAGCATTTTTTTATCAACTTATGCAATTATAATTATTTATTTATTTTATTTATGCAGTATTTTTTTTCTTTGATATTAATTCAAGTTACACTTTTTGAGCATGGTGACCGATAAGAAAACAAATTTTTTTCTTTTATTGAATAAAATAGTAGTTAAAATTATTTAAAATATTTTTATTATCTTACAATACATGTAGTTTATTCAGGAATTTTTATTATTGAAACTATAGGTTTATGGTAACTAAGAAACATAAGTTTGAGACTTGATATCCTCTAAATATCTAGAAAATACCGCGTCAATGGTGGTCCCATATTTTATTGTGGATTCTTGTGGATCATTATTCATTTTCAAATTCAATTTTTCCGAAATTGTGTCTAAAAGAGATAGAATCAGTTATGAGGAGTTAGCAGCTAGTCTACACGCATACAAACACCGTGCCGAAGTCTGCCGAACTGAAAGCACGGCTTTCAATGCCGTACCGCTGTGCCGGTCGGAGTGGGGGGTGTTAGGTTTATTTTCGTTACGGAATTTCTTTTTCGATTTTTAAATTTTTCGATTTTTCGATTTTTCGATTTTTCGATTTTTTTATTTTTTGATTTTTCGATTTTTCGATTTTTCGATTTTTCGATTTTTCGATTTTTCGATTTTTCGATTTTTCGATTTTTCGATTTTTCGATTTTTCGATTTTTCGATTTTTCGATTTTTCGATTTTTCGATTTTTCGATTTTTCGATTTTTCGATTTTTCGATTTTTCGATTTTTCGATTTTTCGATTTTTCGATTTTTCGATTTTTCGATTTTTCGATTTTTCGATTTTTCGATTTTTCGATTTTTCGATTTTTCGATTTTTCGATTTTTTGATTTTTCGATTTTTCGATTTTTCGATTTTTCGATTTTTCGGTTTTTCGATTTTTCGATTTTTCGATTTTTCGATTTTTCGATTTTTCGATTTTTCGATTTTTCGATTTTTCGATTTTTCGATTTTTCGATTTTTCGATTTTTCGATTTTTCGATTTCTCGATTTTTCGATTTTTCGATTTTTCGATTTTTCGATTTTTCGATTTTTCGATTTTTCGATTTTTCGATTTTTCGATTTTTCGATTTTTCGATTTTTCGATTTTTCGATTTTTCGATTTTTCGATTTTTCGATTTTTCGATTTTTCGATTTTTCGATTTTTCGATTTTTCGATTTTTCGATTTTTCGATTTTTCGATTTTTCGATTTTTCGATTTTTCGATTTTTCGATTTTTCGATTTTTCGATTTTTCGGTTTTTCGATTTTTCGATTTTTCGATTTTTCGATTTTTCGATTTTTAGATTTTTCGATTTTTCGAGGGTGTTTCGTTACGGAATTGCTCGATTCGGTCGCCGCGCCCAAAGCCCGCGACAAAATCTATGCAATAGCTTAATAATGAAATAGTTAACACTGATAAAACAAAAATTAGTATTTTATAAATCTTGCAAAAAAAATAATATCTAATATTTACGCCAGCCGGGAACATTTGTGATACCAATTTATTAGAAGCCAGAGAAAGCTCTTCTAGTTCTTGTATTGCATAAACGTTCCAGTCCGCAGACGTATATTTAACTTCGCTTCATACTAATACGAATAGAGTCGGATAAAACCTTCCACGGCTTTCAACGCCGCACCGTAGTGGTGAGTGTTAGGTTAATTTTCGTTACGGAATTTCTTGATTCGGTCGCCGCGCTCAAAGCCCGCGATAAAAGCTATGCAATAGCTTAAAAACTGCTTTCATTCCAATTTATCTTCAATCACAGACTACGAATGATTAAATCAGGTAGTAGGCACATGCTAAAAAAAAAAAAATGTAAAAAAAACAAGAATTATTGAATGGGTCGAAGACACATGACTTTCCTATCTAGTTTTTCCGGTTATTTTGTACAACCTATTGCAGCACCTCTATAAATGTTTAGAGGATAAACTAAATATATACATATCTCTTAAATAATTTTAACTACACTTTTGATGTAATAATTTTTAGTGAAACCTGGAGAATTGATGATGAATTTTTTTTTTAATATCCAGGGATATAAATTAAATTACAATAATGGAGATGTGAATCCAAATGATGGGGTAATGTTATATATAAAAAATGTTTACAATAGGGCTTTTACTTGCAAAACTAAAAATATTGGTATTATTAAAACAATTGTATTAAAAATAAAATTATCAAGTAATAATATAATTATTCATGCTCTTTACAGACCTTGCGGTACATGTCCTAAGAAGTTTAATATTAATTTAAGTGATTACATGAGACAAAATATTCCCAAACATAGACATAAATTCAAATAAAGACTATTGTCAAGATTATATAGATATATGAAGTTTTAATGGTTACAAATCACTAATTAATACATTCACAAGAATAAATAATGGTTCTAAAACTATTTTAGATCACATTTTTGTAAACTGTCCTGAAAATGAATTTAAACATCAA